AACCTATGCTATGATCGGCCTAGCATCAAAGCTGCGAGCGAATACCCAATACTGCCCAATGCTAAGGGCTCAGGATAAAATTTCCATTTGCCCTGAATTCATTGTTTGGAGTAGCAAAGGTTCACAATCCCTTTGGTTTGAAGGTTAAAATAGTGGGATGATATAAGTTAAAATCTTTACTAACCAAAATACAAACAGATATGTGTACAGCCAGTGTCTGACTTGGAAGAGGCCTCATGCCTATTTAACAGTTCCCGAAATTGATAGAAAAATTGAGACATTGATAAATTTTAGATAAGAACTTAGGTCAACTTAGATCACTTAAAGCCATATAAAGACTGACAGTTGAATGTACTAGAGTGAAATGAGTCGAAGACCTACGGTTAAAATGGAATTCGTTCAATCTTGCCTCCTAAAAATCTTTCTAGTAAATGGTATATTGCGAGTAGAACTTAATCTAAGTCTCCTAAGCACTCACAACGATGCTCGAAGACTGGACGTACGCACTAAACGAAAATGTTACGATTCCATCGCACAGTCAGGAACAATAGGGGGTAAAAGGAAAGAGGCGGATTTTAAGGCAGGCCAGTTCACTCCAAATTCATAGTTATGTTGAAAATGTTGTGGATAACGTAAAGTGTATTCGCCATTAAAATCACGATATTGCTGTATCCCGACTTAATTGTTTAATAAATCATGAGTAAAGCTCGTATGAGAACCTAAGTCAACTAAGGTCACGTAAGGAGCAATAGTTGCATTTCCCATGGTGAAATGAATAGGCCTGTCCTACCGACCTGCGCCCAGGACTATTTTGCAGAGTAGTAACTTTGCTACGTTAATGAGATCCACATTGGACCAAAACGCCATTTTGGGGGCAAGACCATTAAGATCCACTAGCGCCACGATGCCGCCTCGAAGAAATTTCATTTTAAAAAGATCATCATTAGTGACTCCGGCTCTTGTTAAAGCTTCAATGATAGTTTCGAAACCTGTTTAACGGATATAAAAAGATCATAGCCTAAAAATTTCTCTCCGAAGATTCATAAATTATGCATATTCTAACTCGTGTAGATTACAAGTTTGAATGATAAAATGAGTAATACGCTAAGAGCTTACTTGAAAGTAAACAAGATTCATAAAACTGGAATAAATAAATACGCAAAAAAACCGCAAGGCCTAGTTTGCGTTGAATCACAAGCTTTAAGGCATAAATAAAATAGGTGTAAGAAAGCCGTCTTGAGAAGTAAGGTGGCGAAAAATAAGATTATAATAGATATAACAAACTCAGTATTCCGATAGTAGGTTCGCGAAAAAATGGTGAGAAATCTTACCTAGAAATATCAACGAAGAACTTACTCGGAAAAATATGCAATCCTGGCAGCGATGTGGCTGCGCTTAAATGCCCGAGAGGCAGATCGAGTGGCACCACGCGGACAATCGCCATCACGCCTTCAGTGTCATCATTGGCGTTGTTAGCAGGATCACTGGAGAATTCCTCGACAACAGTACAAGTTTCAGTAGGGCCTAAGAGCCCATTATTTTGCCGAGGCAAACTTATGATCGCACCGTTGGAAGGAGATAATACCGAGGCATCAAAGTGATGTGACTTAGAGTTGTTGAAAGATTCCTCTGTCACCTCGTGGGCAATGCAGAGCAGGATAAAATGGGCCTCAAAGGCATTTAGCCTACCGGAAAACCGGGCTGAAGGCAAGCCGTTGGGTAGGGGCGCATTCAGTGAGGCTGTCGTGGAAGCGTACAAACCCAAAGATGTACAGGGGCATCGATTTAATCTTCTTTTCTGGTATGGCCGATTGGCAAAATGAGGTAGTATCGGTGCATGATGTAATATAGGATGAGAACTGGGTAGAAATTTCCAGTCACATAACAAAACGGGTGCGTCCCACTTGAGAATATATGTAAAAGGAAAGAATAAATATAGAGAAAGCAAAGCTTTATAAAACAGGTAGGATGGAGTGGATGTGAGAAAGCCAAGACAGCGAGCGTTTATAAGGCTAAGTTGAAGCTGGCCTCTCGAAGGCTTTTAGTTTTTCCTCATTCGGCTAAATGGAAGAGGGCCTTCAAAGAAATGCATAGTGTTGCTGTGGTACTCATGTTACCTTTGTAAAGCAGATATTTTTATAAACAAATTCATATATTTTTAGGGACATTTTATACACTAAGCAAGCGTAGAAAGTGAATATGAAGTCCACTCTGGTGACTTTTTGACCGAATAATTACAAGTATCCATTATATGCCTCTGATCCTCAAGGAGTTGGCCCTAAATTAATCGATCTCATACCTGTTGAGCTTACTTCCATTTCGAGTGAAAGTGTTGGGTGAAGAGAGGAATCCGCCGTTGTCTTCTGGTGGAACTGACCTTCGAATCTTTTCACCCAACACTTTCACTCGAAATGGAAGTGAGCTCAACAATTATGGAACAAGAGATTCCTCGGAACCCAACTTTTCTTTGATCTCATACTATCAAAATTATTTAAAGCTTGTCTATGCATATAACGAATTGATAAATATCGATCATGAATATACGCCGATTATTAATTACGAAGCAACTGTATACTAGTTATAGGGTACAAAGTAATCATGAAGTAGCAAATTGTGTCATACCATAGAAACCACTTAATTAAAATAATGTAACCAATACAATTATCCTATTTATTCTGAATGAGGTTGATTATTTGCATAAGCTATAAGATACTGAGGTGGCCAGTAGTAAATAAGACAAAG